TCTTATGTCTTATGCTCGCGTCTCTTCGGACCGGATTCCTTTCTTATTGTTCTTAAAAGAACATTTTTTGGTCCTTCGAGCCGGATCCGCCGAGGGGCGCGAGCTGTGATATGGTTTGACAGTGTGCGGCCAACAATTTGATGCGTCAGGCGTCGTCTGTTGTCGCTACGTCATAATGCCCGTTCTAATTAATGATATTTTGCAGGTTGCCGATATTGCATCAGATACTTATCAGATACTCATTGGAGAGTGCTATTGAGCACGTCTCATCCCATTACAATCAAAGGGAAGACGTTGCGCTTGGTTCGACAATGGATCAATTTCGTGCGCAAATAACGATGCAAATGAACAGATTTCTGTTAATTCAAAATGCCGCCGAGGACGCATCGGAGGGATCGTCCGATTCAGTGTCTCGACATCTATTAACCACACGGCTGGAAGTGCTAGAGGCAAATTGGATTAAATTTAGAATGGAACACGAGGAAATGTGCCTGGAGTTTTCAGAGCGAATCGAGGAGGAGCCGTATGTTAAACACCGAACGTATGAGAGATGTCAGGAATTTTATGTACAAGCGAAGGCTGTATTACTCGAACAACAGGAGTTGAAAGAGGCTTCTCATTCTTCCTCACGTTGGTCTGAGAGGTCAGTTCCAGAAGTCTGACACGTGAGTCGTCGAGGAAATTTGCCAAAGATTAAGTTGCCTTCTTTTTCTGACGATTATAACACATGGAGATCCTTTCATGATCTATTTGCATTCATGGTAGGCGAGAATCATGATCTAACCAACGTTGAGAAAATGCATTACTTGAAAACGTGTCTAACCGGAGATGCCGCGAAGCTTGTAACAAATCTCAAGGTCAATGAAGATACGTTTCCCATCGCATGGAAGACCTTAGTCTCTCGATACGAGAATAAACGAGTGTTAATCTCTACGCAATTGGACAGATTGTTCTGTTTAAAACCAATCAAGGCGAAGTCAACACAGGAATTAAATACAATACTTGCTGCAGTTACCGAATCGTTAGGAGCTTTAGAAGCACTGCATTGTCGTACAAATGCATGGGATCCTTTATTAGTACATTTGATATCTCGTTTATTGGATCCAGATACACGTGAGGCATGGGAAGTTAAGCTAGGTCCCTCAACTTCGTATCCCACTTGGAAGGATTTTGAGGAGTTCGTAGTCGGTCACTCAAGAGCGTGGGAAAGTCTGGCTTCCACATCTAGTCAGCCCGTGAAGGTTAAGGGGTGTTTATTATACTCTCAACATAAGCCAGATTCCAAATCATGCAGTTTGGTAGCTATAGCCCCGTCTTTTAAAGGCGGATCCGAATGTCGCATATGTAAATCATCTCACTTCTTGTCAAATTGCCCAACATATCTATCTCAGCCTTTCGAACGGCGCAAACGCACAGTTCTAAAGTTTAACTTATGCTTTAACTGTTTAGGTAATCATATCGTTAGTCGTTGTCAAAGTACTCGTCGCTGTAAGAAATGCGGTAATAGACATCATACCACTCTGCATGATGACACTAAGTCAGCCGAGAAGTCCGCGACTAAAACTAAGTCAAATATCTCAATTGATATTTCTCATCATCGCGAACATCTAGCGCAGAAACTAAATGACAAGAAATCTCGTCCGGTGGCCATGTCGAACGCGTTATAAGTCAGAAGCCAATTACCTTACTTGCCACGTGCCAAGTTCGAATAAAAACTCGAGACGGGGATTTCGTTAACGCTCGGGCTCTATTAGATCCTGGATCGGAATTGTCGTTTATTACGGAAAATCTGGTGCATCGGCTAAGACTTTCACGAAAGGCTGCCACGATTCCACTATTGGGCATCGGCGGGACTTGTTCAGGACGCACCAGAGGCTCCGTAGATATTGTATTACACTCTCTGTTAGACGTTAATGATTCTTACGCGTTACAAGCTTACATTCTTCCTCGACTGACTTTTGAGATACCGTCGTTCAACATAGTTAACACACCTTGGACGCATTTAAACGATCTACCACTTGCAGATCCCAACTTTGGCAAACCCGGACCGATTCACATTATTGTCGGTGCAGACCATTACGGTCAGATCATTAAGCCTGATTTGAGAAAAGGAGGGTCATCCTCGCCTATTGCCCAACTAACATTATTCGGTTGGGCCGTTTCCGGGCCGGTTTCCCTTGATTTACGTAATTTAAAGGGAGGAATGTATCATTGTCATATTGACCGCGACCTACAGAATTTGCTGACTTGTTTTTGGAAACAAGAGGATCTCCCAAATACAGATGAAAAATCCCTAACTGGTGAAGAGGAATATTGTGAAGCGCACTTTCGCTCCACCTTTTCCCGAGATTCGGACGGTCGATATATAGTACGACTTCCGCTTCGAGCTCCTACGACATCTTTGGGAGACTCGACTGCAACAGCTTTTCATTGTTTATCGCGGTTACATAAACGGTTCGTAAGAGAGCCATCCTTTCGTAAACTATATACGGAATTCTTACAAGAATGCCAGACACTAGGACATATGATCCCGGTTTCAGAATCTGAGGTCGATGCTACTCCTGTCTTCTATTTACCTCACCATGGGGTAGTACGCGAAAACAGTCAGACGACTAAGCTCAGAGTAGTTTTTAACGGATCGAGTCCTTCGAGCAGTGGCATTTCTTTGAATGACATCCTGCATACGGGGACAAAATTACAAACGAACATCTTTGATGTACTACTCCGGTTTCGTTCTCATCAGTACGTTTTCTCTTCGGACATTACGAAAATATATCGAAATATACGTTTACATGTAGCTGATCAGAACTTGCAGCGTATCTTTTGGCATGATTCGGAAAGCCAGTTACGCTCATATAAGTTGACAACGGTGACTTACGGTTTGAATTGCGCTCCATTTCTAGCTCTCCGCGTCATTCAGCAGTTGATTGAGGATGAGGGCCATCGGTTTCCTAAAGCCATACCATCGCTTTCTAAAGAAAGATACGTTGACGATATTTTTGATGGATGTGGCAGCTTACTCGCCACATGCAATCCGCCGGGCGCGCTCGTAGCAGCACCGCTACTGAGG